CGCTGCTCCTGGCTGTTCCCTACATTCCCAGCAGATCGTGTGCTGTGGAAAGCAGGCTTCCACAAGGGAGAGGGAAAATCTGCCTGTGAGCAAAAGATTTGTTCAAATTAAACGGACAGCAGCAAGAGGTGCTGTGGGATGGGTTTCCTCCATGGATCCCCGGAAACAAACCCGAGTTTGGCTCCAGTTCCTTAAGAAGCACTTGTTTGTCTCTTCCAGCAGCAGCCTGGCACAAGCACTGCTGGTTTGGGTGGAGCAGCATCCAAAGGAGGAGTGGAAGAGTTGACATTTTTGTTGTGACAGGTTTTGCAGTCCGCATCTATTGCATTTACAGGATGCCATCTATATGCATGAGAGGAAAGGCATTTGCATTTCAGCTTGTTTAATTCAGAAATATTTGTGAATCACTATCCTTGCAGCATTCTGTCACAAAGGATTATCATAATGCTGTTCTTTCCTGCTTACCCACACAGGACCTCCTCCGGTTCCTTGGATTTAAAGAAGCTTCAATTCTTGCTCTCCACATTCTCCTATTAATTATTTTTGTTATGTGAACACCACAAGGTCCCAGTCAGAATTCCAGGAGTTCCCAGGATAGCTCATACTGACATTCCCCGTCCCAGGGGGTGTCTGAGCACTCGTGTCCATCACTGCAGTCCAGCACAGGCAGCATTCCCAGAACCAGGGAGAATATTTGGATAACAGAGTTTTCTGCTGTGATCAGCCTGCAGCCACCATACTCTTCCAGGACCTCTATACTCCTGCATGTCATTTACTCCTTGCCACATAAACCATCACCTTTCCACAGCAAACAGCTGAATGGCACAGCTGTGCCTTCCAAAACCACACCAAATGAGCCTGGGTGGACACGTTCAGTGAAATACAAATCAGTTCTTGTCACTGTGATCAAAGGAAGCGAAGGGTCAAACAGGCAGTTGAATAAATTCAGGAGAAGATATTGGGATTACTTTTATAAAAGTTTGATAGACTGACTAAATCTAAAAATCTGAACATAATATTAAAAAAAAAGAAAACGAAAAAAACAGTATTGAAAATTATTATAGATTGACTTATTTTCAATTTTCTATGATCTAATTCTACTTTTTAATTCTAAGAAATTAGTCAGTGAATTTAACGACACTGTAGTATAATCTTAAAAGCATTCTAGGAACTTGTATCTTAACACAGGCTTTCACCTTGTTTTCCTTGGTTTGGGGTTTTTAAAATTATTTTTTATTTTAAACCATGCGGTTTGGGGATGGGGTTTTTTTTGTTTGTGTGGGGGTTTTTTGTTTGTGTGGGGGTTTTTTGGTTTTGTGAGGGGTTTTTTTTTTGGTTTTGTTTTTTAGGAAAAATAATCAGATGAATCTACAAAGCAATAAAACACTTTGGAGTTACTTTAAGTTGTTTATCCTGTCTTCATGCAGCTTGTTACAACAGACGAACTGACTCCAGCTCATCACATAGGAGACATTTTTAGAATAGTTTTTAGAATTAATACCAGGATAGTTCTGGTATTTTACTGGCCAGAATTATGTGCACCATTAAATACATGAAGAATTGTGTCTTTATGTGTACAGATGCAGGTAGTAATGTATTACATGAAACAGAATGCTGTGGTAAGCAGATGTTCCCAGGATAAAGTGTATCTGATGTGCAATAACTTGTTAAACAACCATTAAATTTGTCAGAACTATTATTTAGCACAGAAAGATAACTAAAAATATTACCCAAGAAATTAATGCAGCTAAAAGTTCATTGGTTTATTTCTCTTATCAAGAGTAACAGTCTGAAACATTTTACATTAATTTACAATCATCAAAAAGATCCTTATGTTTATCTCACACAGGTGACACTGAGTCATCCAGTTAGCGCTAATCATTATTCCAAAAATTCCATCTTGTTTTATAAGGTTAAACATTGTTGAGTCATTTGTTGCCAAAACACATCATCAGTCTACAACCACACAGAAAGTAGAAATTGAAATTTCTACAGAGCCACTACCATCACTATGAAGATACAATGCCAAGTGTTTACAACATTCTGCGAGTTATCACTCCTCCCAGCATTCAAGGCAGCAAAAATTCCCTCTTCACTTTTTACTGTACACACAGCAATTACAGCAAAAGGGGAAATTTTGATCCATAATGTCACATCGAGGGTAACAGAAGTGCTTCTGAGTCATTTGCTATGTAAGTAGGAAACGAGCAGGGCTGTGGAACAATGAGGATTCTCCTCTGAGAAAGGGCAGGCTGTCTCCTCAGCCTCAGAGCAGGCACACTCCTCTCCTCCCAGCAATGAAAATGGCCTGTGCTCGTGGGGCAGGAGAAGCAAGGCTGCATCCCTGTGGGTCCCAGGCAGCTGTGCAGAGCTGGCACAGCAGGACTAGGAGGGGAGATGCAGTGTGACAAACCCAGAGCACGGATCAGTAACTCACCTACAGAGCAGCACAGCCCAGTTTCACCCATTAGAAGCACTGGGATGTTTCACAACTTTGGCTTCCTCGAGCCCTGGTTGAAACCAACTACTGCTGTGTGTCCCTCAGCCCCACAGAGCAGAGCTGTTCAGACCTGCAGCCTCCCTGGCAGGGAGCACTCCAAGAACTTCCCTGTTTTCCCTGGCAGCCAGCATGCAGCCCACAGCAAAGCCCCTCCGCTGGGCTTGGCCCAGAACCTGGCACACCATGGCCTCTGCCCACAGTGCCCACCTCCGAGCAGGACTGCAGCACCCTGGCCACTCCAGAGTGCTCCAGTGCCACACAGAGGTGGCTGGTGACTCGCTGGCACGCTGCTGCTGGCATGGGAAGCCTCCAACAGCGTGGGCTAGGGGCCGTGCAGCCAAAGGGAAACCATCTGGGAATGCCTTCCTGGCTCTCTGCACAACAGCACACTCCAGCAGGGATGCAGCAAAGCCTCTCACCACCCCTCCTCCTGTTCTGGCATTCCTCAGGCATTCCCCTCCCCAGTCACACTGCCAGGTGCCCTCTGCCAGGTGTCCCTGTCCTCTCCCGCAGAAGCAGCAGCAGGACCCTGCTGTTTGGGATGCAGCACAGCTGCAGGAACACATGAGGAGCTGTGTTCCTTCCCCTCTGCCCTGCCAGCTCTCCCTGTGCCTCGCTGCTCCTGCAGCAGCCCTGTTCCTGGGGTGGGCACTCACTGCCCTACCCAGCCATGCTCCAGTGCAGCAGGGGGACACAGCTCTCCCTCCTGGCAGCAGCACAAACCAATTCCCACCTCTGGCCAGGCTGAGGCAACTCCTCCCCAGCAGCAAGAGGGGCACAGCACCCCGCAGCCCCATCCTGAGGGGATCTGCTCCCCAGCTGTGGCCAAAGCCATTGTCCCTCCCTGTCACACCATGGCCAAGATGTGTCCTTGCCCCACACGCAGCGTGGCACAGCAGCTCAGCAAGGCTGAGTCGGGAGCAGCCACTTGCTCAGAGATTCAGAGCCCAGCTCCTGCTGTCACACTGTGGACCTGGTGTTATTCACATACAGCAGTTAAATACCCCGTGCCAAGGCAGTGAAACCCAGCAGGTGTGACTCCACACCCTGGGAAAGGGAGCACTGCTCCTGGCTACCCTGTGAAATGTAAGTACTGCTCCTAAGATGGCACAGAGGGAGTTTGGTGCCCACTGCACCCCTTGGCATGGCCAGTGACCAAAGGATGGAAGTCCTAAGTCCATTTCCAAATGGATGGGACTGTGGCTATCTCCCTTCAAGGCAGAAGGTCCTCAAGGTACAATGCTCAGGGAGAATGGATTGTATGGCCAGAGGAGATGTAGGTGTGGGCAGAATAGCACTGAGACAACATTTTGATCAGCACAGGTTTCCCCACAGGCCCTCTCAGAACAACCTTGTCTCCAGTAGGAAACACAGCCTGAGGAGAAGGACACAGCCTGGGAACTCTGAGGAACAATTTGCCATAGACAACTTTTGTGGCCACAGTCTGGCTGAATTGTACCTCTCCTTCTCTCCAGCCAGACAGGGAAAGCAGCTCTTCTCTGCTCCATAAGACCATTGCAAGGTGCTCAGAAAAGGTAGAGAATATGACAGCTGGGGTTCATACAATAACCTTATTCAGCTTTAAACAGCGTTGTACGAAGAGCATCATCTATGCAAAGCCTGCAGTTAAAATGGGGCTTCTGTGTCCACCTGCAGGTGCTCAGAGGGCAGAATTTTACACAACTTGGAAAATGCCTTTTGCTGTCCCAGGCCTATGCATGGGGACAGCACTGGGATTTAGGAAATAATCTGATCTGCTCTAGCAGCTGCAGACAGCCCAAAATGGAAATGTCCAGTGGGTCAGGGCCTGTTTCCCACTGCTGTGGTGCCCACGGTTTATTCTGGTATCACTCCATGTAAGCCAATAGGTCACTTCCATGGATACTGTGTGAGCCAGACCCTGAACATCCAAGCTGATATTCAACCCTTTGCTTCATGCCATGTGTAGTTCAGAGAAAAAGTGCACCTTGTGCAGTTCTTGGCCTCACTGGTTTGAATTAAAACTATGTCAATCTTAGCTCTGAATTTCCTGTGTAGCAAATATTAAGAGAGTCATCAATCCTGTTCTCACTTCCAGTGAGACCCAACATGAACCCAGCTTCGTTGAGGTAACATGCATTAATGGCAGCCCAGGGTTCATCCCAAACCACACTGCTTAGCCTGTCTGTCCTCATGAGCTTTTACAGGTGCTGATGAAGCAATGGGGCAGAGCTCTACAAACTTCTGCTTGGTGCCCTTCAGTTACAGAAATCATGGGCAGTCTCCAATTCAGGGACCCATGAGGTATCCTTTGGTACCCAAGGTATTATCTGGAAAGGAATCAAAATTCTGTTCACCAAAATATTTATATTAGCTGAGAAAGCCAAACTCTACCAAGAAAAGAGCTGGCAAGGTTCCCTGGAGTGCCTCTGCCAGTGTGTAAAACACAGAGAGCAGCCCCACCTACCACAGCCCCTCTGTGCATGCCCAGGGCTGGTTTAGCTTTTAAGTTCAGTGCCAACTATTTGTAAGGCCTCAAAAATCTGGAAACTTTGGAGCGCAGCAGCCGAATGAAGGATCTTGGGAACATCTCTCTGGACTCTTGGGCTGTGTACTTGAAGTAGTTCTGTGGGTGTGCCAACACGTCAAACAGTGCTTTTATCAGCTTCTTGTCCTGGGAAAAGGGAAGCAGATTTTACATCAGCTGCACAGAGGAGTTATGGTCAGCATTACCAAAGTTTAATGCCTGTCTAACTCTAAAAAGATTATGGGGCATTTTACTTTTCAAGTGTTTCAGGGGCTTAGAAAGGTAGCAGAGCAAGGCTGACTTTCAGGCTCCTGGGAAGTCACTGGTGTTCCACATCAGCAGCTCCAGAATTTCTTCCCTCCTCATACATCCAAGAACAGCTAACAAACCACAAAATGAACCCACACTTGAGCTGAGATCCAGCAAATAAAGGCATGCACTCAACTTGCCTATGGAAGTCCCCTAACCGAGGTCGGAGAAATCCACAAAGACGTTTCTTTTGCCCAGGGAGGAAAAGCTTTTGCTAATCTACAGGCTACAAGGAGCAGCACCAAGTGCTTTCCCAATAAATTAGTTTCCCTGGTAGCTCTGATCCACACTGAGTGTCCCTGAGCAAAGGGTCCCCTATCCACTGCTCGGCATAACCAGGATCTGCTGATTCTCCCCATTTCCCTGAAGCAGCTCATGTCTGGTGCACCAAGGAACAGACCTGATGCAGAGCAGGAAGCAAACTCACTTGCACCAAATAACATGATTTCCGATCAAAACCAACATGTTTAGTGGAAGGAATGTACCTTAAGTATTTCTTGATGATTTTCAGATGCATAAAGTCTGCCATCCCGAACAATGTCTTCTATTAGCTCTTGGTAATCCTCTGTGGGGAATGCACAAAAGAGTAATTTGCAGCTTCATACTTCATACTTCACTTACATACTCAATACCTCCCGTGGTTACACATGGAAGCCCTGCCCTCAGAAGAACATTGGCCCTCATATTAGCAGCCAGAAATTATTCCTAACACTTCTCTTTTTATTATGAGAACAGTGTACTCTGCTGAGCTGCTCAGCACCAATCTGTCAAAAGCAAAGGAAATCATAAAGCACCCAAGACTGGAGTGTATGTGGTAACCAAGTAACCTGCTTCAAACCAGCTGAACTGCAGGAACCCCTCTGTACACACTCACAACCTGTTACTGACTCCTTTCTACAGGAAGAAAGAACAAAAAATTATGTAAGAGGATGCTTTCTTAAAAGTAACCCCCCTGCTCAATCATAGCCTAAAATTCTTCAAAAGGAGAAAAATCCCCTGAAAAATTACTTTTCCACCACTAGTGAAACTCTCAGACCACAGCAAGGATGACTCCCTCACAATAAATCCAGAACATGAGCAGAACATACAATATCACTTCACTTATGCTGAAGTGCAAATCCTCAGCTCCACTTTCACACCTCGTGATTCTGACAAGGGTGAGGTGAAAATCTTTCCCCTCAAGCTTCTTTCCAATATAGATATTTTGCCATTTGATTCTAGGCCACAAATGGTAGCAGGAACACCATAAAACACAGGTACTTTGGCTCTACCTTATTCCTAACTGGGGCCACCCAGAGAAAATGGAAAGGCACGGAAGTGCATGAAACTTAGATTCCATGTCTGAGCTCTGTAGTTTGCAGGCCAGAGCCCAGAACCCCAGCTTTTTGTTTGGAAGACACGGTGGCACTCAAAAGACTGCAGTGCACTGCAGAATTCCTTAGACTAGGTTTCAATGGAACAGCTCCTGGAAGCAGCTCTGGTGACACTGCTGGGAGCACTGGGCTGCCCTGCTGCTTAGGGAGGGGAGCTCTGCACTGCTGCAGCTGCAGCAGCCCACATCAGCCCAGCTGCTCACTCCCACTTACCATCGTAGGTTACATAAGGAACTTGGAATCCTTTGGCACTGTTCCCTTCATTGGACTTGAACTGGATCCACAGTTTCTTGGACCTGGAAGTGAAAGCTATGGGGCGCTCGTAGGTCTGGCAGGTCTCGTACGTGGTCACCGAGTTGGAAGAGGCTTTCAAAGCAAACACACAACAGGCAGCTGTGTGACAATGCTTCCCACTCAAGAGCTGTCAGAGCTGTTTTCTCTGTTACTACGAGAAAAATGCTTGCTGGTGTTAGGAAAACTCCCCAAAATGTGGCAGGCCATCAGTGGATGGCAGGCCATCAATGAGGGACTTCTTGGTGAGAGAATATTTTCCTTTTTCCTAAAATAACAGTCTACTGTTGGAAGGACGTGCCTACACTAGAAACTGAGGTTGTTTACCCACACATCAGGCACCTGTAAGGATTAGCAAGCATTTCCTCTTTCCTAACCCAGCCTAGAACTGCTTAGCATAACGCATGACTGGTTAGTTTGAACCATCTACCCCTTCTTAACAATATTTCTTCAGTTGACTGGCACATCATGGCCTTGCACCCTCTGAATTTCACTGAAAACTATGGGGCAGCATTGCCAAATAGGACTTCTTTTGCCATTAAAGAATTTTCTGCTCTTAAATAGATGCCAGGCAGGCTACATTCAGTTTCTGCAAACAGCAACGCCTGTGAGAACCCTGTGTTTCCCCCTGAGCTGTGCCCCAGTGGGTGTTTCAGACTCACAGCTTTTTCTCATCACCAGGTAGTCTCCACACTCGTCTTCGATGGGCAGGAATATTTCTGGGACCACGATCAGGATGCGGCGCTTGGGCGGTGGGTTGATGTTCCAAGTGCACTCAGTGTTTGCAGGGTAGTCCCCAGGGTAGTTGGGCGATTCAATATATCCAGTGTAATCTCCCAGCTCCCCTCCACACTGCCTGTCTGGAAAAGGAGCACACTATGCAGGACAAGGCAAAGAGAAGTCGCCCTACAGCCCTCCTGCATGGGAGCCAGACACACATTTTCCTTTTTGCTGCAGGTACAGCTCTCTTTGCCAGCCTCTGACATTCCTGTGTGGATGTGTTTGCATGTGTCTGTGTGTGTGTAGGCACTCCAGAGGTGGTTCTGAGCAGTCACCTCTCTGCCCTCCATTCTGCCTCTTTAATTTGCCCTCAGCTACCATAAATCCAGAACAGTGGCTCCCTTTGTAATGGACTCTTTCAAAGGTTGTTATTAACAAGAAATGATTACTAGAACTATTAAGCTTTGTGAGCCAGCTTCTATTCCTCTTAATAGGAGGGAACAAATCAGGGTGCTGAGGACACAAACTCTGCTCTATCGAGAGAAAAGATTTAATAGCAAGACCTCTGGGTAATCCAGCACCAACTGGCAGAACACAGTCATCCCTTACCTTGGCAAGGCTGATGGAGCCAGTCTGCAGAAGCGGTGTCTCACAGACCCCAGTGAGCCATGTGGGGTGAGATGCAGGCAGCCAAAGAGGAGCAAGCTCTGCCTTCTCTCCAGCTCCCTGGAGCAAAGCTGCCCTTAAGGCCACTCCAAACATTAATGCCCCAGTCTTTTTATTAGTAAGAGAGCATCAAAACCATCTTGCTGTACTTACTTTTGCACTGTGTTATGTTTGTTGACCCATCAAAATCAGTAGTGGTGTTTCCAGGGCAGGAAATGCAGTAATTTTGTCCAAACTCAGGCTGGTATGTTCCAATCGCACAGCGAATACATCGGTGAGTTGTGGTGTTGTAAAAATGGCCAGGAGAACACTGAACTGGACAGTAATTAGATAATCATGGTTTAAAAGTGGCAGTAGCATACTAGAATATGCTTTTATACATTTGTGCAAGACCTAGTGTAATCTCAGAAACAGAAATGCCATATTTGTAAACTGTGGGGGTAACAAAAATTAGGTAATTAAGCAAATTTTAGTTCATCAGGTCATTTTGTGCAAGCTCAGAATTCTCAGATGCAGCACTGTAGAGTGGTTCTGTGTGAAAGCAGCAATAAAACCATAACAACAAATTATGAGGGTAACAAAACCATTTCAGTTTTTCAGGTTATTTTTGTACAAGTTAAAAAGATCTATCCAATGTAGTTTTCTATGCTGCACAGTCCCTTTTTTTCCCTATTCATTTCAAGCTCTGCTTACTCCCAAATAATTCTTGCTGAGTTTTGGAAGCTAGCTCAGCCAGGAGTCCTTCCCTACATGCTGCCCCAACCCAAATGCTTCAGATAAGCTCCAAATAGTTTTTGCATCTGTGATTCCACGTCTCATGTGGCCTCTTCCACATGCAAATTCCTGAGCTCTTCATTCCAGTTAATAGAAAGAATTCCTTTAATCTCCACTCCAATTTCAAAACTGAACCTCATTTATAGACTTGTTTTTGTTTATGTTAAATAAAACTGAAATCAGCTCCTCTTATCTTGATCCAGAGTTTTAACATCGTTTTTAGTACTTCAGTTTCACAAAATTAAGTATGAAGAAGCAGTCTTTGTGGGTTCAGTGATTGTACACTGAAGGAAACTATTAGATATCACACTACTACCAGTAATATTAATTCTTCAACGATACTGCTAAATTCTTACAATATGTTGTAATTCTCAATAAACATATCAACTGAAATGAGAGTGATCTCCTCATCCAAACCACTACCAAATGTTTGCATCAGGACCTTATTTCTATCCCTTATTTCTGCTCTGCAGCAGTAGATTTTCTGTTAAAGAGGTTATCCTCTAGTGATTTATATAAGCAATTTTCTTTTACCCATGCTTTTGGTAATCAGTTTTAGAAAGAACTGAGGTTTTACTGAATTTCCTCGCAGCCAGGCCAGGCCAACCTGCTGTGAGACTCCTGCAAGGACTGACCCTCAGAAGGAGAAAGAACCTTCTCTGAATGCCCCACCTGAGCAGCAGCATTTCCTTGTGCCTCGGATCAGTGCAGTTCACCAGACAAACCCTGGCCTCACCTTTGGTCTCACAGTCCTGAAACAAGGAAGCCCCGCTGTGCCTGGTGGTGAGAGCTCCTCCACAGGGAAAGCAGGACACTCTGCCAGCCTCAGGCTGGTACGTTCCAAGGGGACATGGCAGGCAGGGCTTGAAGCCATCAGGAGAATATTCCCCAGGGGAGCACTGATCTAGGAGAGGAGAGCACACATTAGAGATGAAGGAGTGTCAGTGAGCCTGCACAGGACCCACAGGGAAACTGCTCTGCTTCACTGGGGCAGCTGGAGCAGGGCTGCAGAAATGAATGCTGCCAACAGCTGGAGCTTTATACCTCCAGTGTGCACTGTGCAGCAGGCACTGACAGCCTTGGGGGCTAGGGAGCCCTTCTGGGAGCTGGAATGGATTTCACACCTTGTTGCAAGGCCACACTGGACACTCAGCCTGTCCAGGGCTCTCTGCTCCTCTCTACAGTGCAATTATGTAGTGATTATCTCCTCAGTCTAGCTAGAGAGCTCTTGAATTCCTCCCAAATAAAATAATTTAGTATTGAATCTAAGATGCCAAAAACATACTTCCAGATTTCTGTAACAACTTTAATCTTATTATTGAATATTCATATTTCATGACCATTAGCATTACTGGATAGTCTGAAAACCTCAAGTACAACAAGTAATTGTGCAAATTCAGTAAACCAAACATTGTGCCTCAAAGATTTTAAAGCAGAAATACTCTTACCATTCCTCTAATAATCTTAGGTAATGATTATCTGTGCCCTGGGCTGCTGTGTTCTGCATGGTGCACAGACAGCACTAACCCAATCTGCCCGATTTTACTTCATCACACACCTCAGTATTATCTAGCAAGCCCAGCAATATTCATGAGTATCTTTGAGAAGTTCTGGTTTTCAAGCTCTTCACAAAAGAACTGGCTTCAGTGCCAGTATTTAATAATTACCCTGCTCTGGAAAGGCACAAAACACTGTTGCAGTTGTTCAGCTGTGCTGAAAAATTCTGTCCTTTTAAGACCTGTTACGATAATAAACTGTTAGTTTTAGTTTATAGCTCCAATAAATCACTCAGTGAATAGCTGTTTTGTTAGGAAGTTAAATTGGCCTTGGCTTCATTTCAGGATATATGACTAACAACAAGCAGGGCATTAACTACCGGTCATGATCAATGATGAAGAGTTTTGTTTATGGCTGATACACGAGGAGGAATCGTTGAGTGCTCCTCCTTGGCTTAAAAATAAAATGCAGCAGGTTAAGCAATGCTCTGTGGCTTATCAATGAAAGCTTGTGAGGAAGTCTGAGCTCCTGGTTCTAACTTTTTCCACCACACATCACTTCTGCCCTCATAAGGCCACACATTCATTTGCTCCCACACTTTTCAAGCCTTTCTCCATTTTATAAACATTCCTACAGAACACTCATCTCTGTACAATCTGTGCACTTCCACAAACATGAATGAATTCAGGCTTTCATTGCAGCACTCCTAATAAGGTAAGGAAAGAGCACTATTTACAATTCCATGACAAGGAAAGACAATTCAGGGTGAGGAAGGGTGATCCTGAAAAGTGCCTACTGACTTCAGAAACCTGGAAGAAATGGAAAGACCTGAGCAAATCTCCTTCCCTCATACAACTCCATGGCTCTATGGGTAATCAATGCTCTGAGTGGCCTGGCTAGAAAATACCTGCTCTCTCCCCTTAGCTTGTCTTTTTCCATTCATTTTAATCATATGTCAAGTTTGGGGTGGTTTGGGGTTTTTTAGGTTGGTTTTTTTGGTGTTTGCTGCATTTTTTTTTTTTTTTTTTTTTTTTTTTTTTTTGCATTTGGGAGAAGGGGTGTCTCTGTTTTGTATTTCAAACAGAAACACTAACCCTACAAATTCAGTCTTAAAACTGTACTTCAGGTTTCCTAGACTTGTTCAGAGCCCAGCAGAACAGTAGGACATCTATCAGAGCTCAAAGGAAACCTGCCCCGGGCAGGAATCAAACCCACAACTTATGTGCAAATGTTGCATTTGAGAACTCATCCCATCAGATCTCTCTTGACAACTTTGCCATCTGCATCATACTTGTCTTGAAGCCACATGTTGTGAAAACTGTGGAGGTCGCTGTGGAATACAACTGAGTTAATCTAAATCTTCTTGGGCTATTTAGCAAAGTGCCTAATTTTTGAAAATTTGCATTGTGGAAGTAAGCTTAAAGAAGCCTCCTCAGACATCACTGAGATCCTCCTCTAGGCCAAAGGAGAACTTTTCCATTAAATCTGAACCATTTGAATTAAGTATTTCCTTCTGATTTTCCTAAGAGATGGCAACAACAGAAAGAAAAAAGGCTGTCTAGCCACCACCACTGCACCACTGTAACAGAGTGTTCAAAACCAGCTGAAAAAAGCTCTGACTTCTGAGACACCCCAAACACTTCAGGCTTTGATTGATCCTCTGTGCATTTGAGAAGAGAGGTCAGTACAGCCACATACAGATTTTTCTATTTACAGTCTAACAACTATTCAATATTCAATGCTAATATCATAATTTCTCCATGCCATGTCCAAGTTTTAGTGCCTCAAACTCACAAATATATCTGTTTCTTCACATGACTACATCAAATCAGGCTTTGCACAGTGGTAGAAGTGTCCAGACAGTTCAATCCATAAACACATTCCCTGTAATCTGCTCCCAGTTCCTCCTCACCTTCCACCTAGAAATGTCTCAGACAGGCCCCTCATCCAGCCCCACTGCAGCACAGAGCTGGGGTAGTGAGGAAAGCCTGTTCAGAAACTCACAGCAGTCACAGGGGCCCAATTTAGCATAACAAATAAGACTTAGTGTTAGATTCAATTACAGTAACATTAATAATAGGGGCGTTATTTCAACCCAGAAATCATCCCACTGAGCTCCATAGGACTGTGCATAAAATTAGCATGAACTTTCTCTTAAAAAGAAGGCCAACAAAATTAACAAAAACCAAAAATCCACAAGAAACACCTCTACGAAGTTAAACTTCTCCAGATATTTGCTTAAAGAAAACAAGTACAGAAGTTTATGACCTTCCTTTCTCAAAATTAGAAACTGCATGTTCCCACCTGACATGTGGGAAATACCCAGTCAAAACCAGATCTGAAGATTTGCAAATAATGACATTAAATCACAATTCCACTGGCTGGCTTTGCTGTTTTTTTTCAGAAACTTGATTGTTTTTTCTCCAAATGAACAAAAGAACCAATTGCCTCTAGTAGACTTCATTTCTGCAGCCACTGTCTTTGTTTATCTTCAATGCCCATTAAAAACCTGGTCTTGAGTCTCATGCAGCTGTTTTAAAGGGGAAAAAAAAGTGAAAGCTTTTCTGATGCAAAAACAAGAAGAAAAGGGGGGTGGGGGGGAAGAGAGGGGCCCACAGGGAACCAGGATTAACAGTTACAAAGACATTTAAAGGCTCTTCCCCTCTTTTCAGCACATTAGCCTTTGAGCATTTGCTCCTATAGACAAACGCTGTAGTATCTCAGGGGCTGAGAAGGTGAACCTCATAAAGGAGGTCATGATCCACCAATTCACCATTTTCTTAAGAATGATGCCTTGACTTTATAAGGAAAATCACCAACAAGTGATGCAAATGGATTCTGAAGCGGCATCCTTTAAGTTATTGTGCGGGAGCAGGTCGCACATTTAGGTCACATGAGAGGGTTTTGCATGCAAAGGATTTATGTCTTCGGTCTGTGATTTTCAGGGCAAGCAGGTTAGCAGGAAAAATAGCCCCATTTTCTCCCATTTGATAAATTAATTTCTTCTTCTTGGATTTTCTCAAAATTGTAAAAAAAAAAAAAAAACCCCAAACAACAGTTGTGCAACACAACTATTAATTATAATGACTGCAAAGGCAGACAGCACTTTGCTTTTCCTTTTAGCTTCCTTTCTCATACTTTCATAATGCCAGTATCATACCACATACAAATCTTTGGGACATGGTTCATCATTTTGGATGAAATGTCATTATCTTATTTGCATCCTCTCAGCTGAGGGGACAAAGCTGCTGAATGCTGAGCAACGAAATGCACTGACACCTCCCACACAAGATAAAGCTGCTCATCATTTCCATCAGAGCAGTGCCTGTGCCAGTGCTGCTCATGCCTGCTGTTTTCTGAGGTGACAGCTCTTTGGGGAAACCCATTTGCAACTACTGTGGGGCAAGGATACGCTGTCATATCCTTCTTTGCATCCATTTCAGGAAATGGTAGTTCTCAGTGCCTCCTTCCACCTCTGAAAGTATTGGTGGGACCAACACAAAAAAAAAAAAAAAACAAAAAAAAAAAAAAAAAAAAAAATTTAACAAGCAAGATGTGCTTTTGACCCCATGGAATGTGACCAAGGTATGACAGAGTTTTAAGCAGTGGAAGAGCAGCTAAATTTCTTGTTGTTTGAACTTATTTTCTTTCAATACAGAGGTTTCTGGTAAATCACTTTCTGAAAAGGAACAATTGGTCTTTGGCTGCTATATCTCTCTGAAGTCAAGCTCATAGTGGAGCAGGAACACTTGTAGCCAGGCCAGTGAGTGAGACTGCATTCTCCCCAAGACAAATGTTTTCTCAAGGCAGCACGTAGCATTTCCAGCATGCTCAGAGGGGTCACACACAGACTTGTATCTTTGTTACATTAAGATCTACTTCAAGGCAGAAAAATTATACTTCTGCTAAGAGAGTCCAGTTCTCTGGGAAGGCTGATGAAAGCTCCATTTTGCTCTATGCCTTTCATGGAATATCCATGGTTATGGACCTGTCACTGGTTGTTCCTTGGAAGCCATACTCAGGACTTCATGGGATTAACCAACATGAGCCAGTGCTGAATGGGCTCATCATAGATACATAACTCACACATAACAAGGTAGAAAAATGCAACATTTGAGCCTCTAAAGCATCAGAAAATCACAAACAGAACTGTACAGTAAACAGCAAAATTGAAATAAACCACACTATCCTTTGCAATCAGCAGTGAATTCCGTTTTACCACACTCTCCCTTGAATCAGCAGCTGTCTAAAGAACAGCAGGCACACAAGTGCAAGCATCCAGCATATTAACAATGATAAAATACCCTGGAAACCACATGCCATTTGTTCCTGGTGTCTTTCTAAAGCTTTTCTTCTGTGCTGAGCCCCACTCAAGACCGTAGGAGTTAAGACAGGAAAATCAGGGATAGAACTAGCTCACCACAAGTGTGAAACCAAATTAAATTTATCTTGCTGCTGCAATTGCAGGCCAGTTACCCAGCACAAAAGTTGTCAGAGCAGGAGCTGGACTTTCCCTCTGACACTGCTCAAATATAAATAATGTTTCAGGCAGTGCTGTGCCAGGGGAATTCTACAAGAGGACCAAAACTGCATCTAACCTAGCCATACTCCAAGTATTGTATTTGAAAGCAATAAAGTAAAACCTGCATTTTACTCAGTAACTGCATCAAAGACGACTTGTAAGTCCCTTTGACTTGCTTTGCTCCCTCACTGCTTCCTACTCCTCTGGCTAGACTGAGCAGAAGTCCTTTGCTGTCCAGAGGCCACATCTACCACCTGCACTTAATCCATCTGCTGACCAGCATCTCCTGCTGTGCAGCCACTTTTTGCCCAGAACCACCAGCATGTCTAGGTAAGCAGAGCCCCAGTCCCATCCAGAAGCAGCTCTGCAAAACCATCAGATCAAAACACAGGAACAAAAACCACAACACCCTCTCCCACACAGATCCCTGAACCAGCTTCTTGCCTTTCTTCTCACTATTCCCACTCTATTCTCCTCTCCCCAGCCTGTCTCTCAGCTCCTTCTGCCTGGCAGCCCAAGCAGCAACAGCAGCAGCCCCCAGTCCCACCTTAGCCATTCAGCCTGGGACAATCAGCCTTTTCTAAGGAAATGAGGCGTTCCTAACAACGCTGCCCCTGCGTGTGCTTTTATGTCCTCTCAGCAACGGGGAGCTGTCTGCCCAGCTCCCAGCAGCCTGACAAGCAATGTAGGGAGGTTTCAAAGATACTAATTTTCTGTACATTTAATGAAAATAAGCAGGGGAACAAGTGTAAGGAGAGAGCCCTTAACATCGGTGTAAGGGAAAGGCTGCGGTGTGAGTTTCACCTCCTGTTTGATCACAGGGAATCTGCACAAGGACACGGTCTGAATAACTCAGCTGAAGAAAGGAAGGTTCAGTTAGTGCTTGCACCTTGTTAAGCAGGAGCAAATCAAACCATAAGGCATGAGGCACACAGAGTCATTCCACTGCTCACAGCAGCACCTGTTAGGGTGTCCAGAACAAACTGGGGCACCAATTCAGCAACAGAAGAGGCCTGACTTCTACAAATTGTTCTTCAAAACCTTTTTCTTCATATGCTCAGTGGCTCTGGTTTAACCATATGCCTGTGTTGTTTGTGCTCACCCCACCAAAGAGCTTTCTGGGCAGGCATTGCCCAAAATTCCCTTTTCTCTCTGAACTAGCACAGAAATGCCACGTATGCTTCTCATTTGTGCTGCGACATTAAACTGATTCTGCAGCTATCTAAAAAAAATTGTGCTTATTCTCTGTTCCAATTTCTAATTGCAATTCACATTGCCTTCTCCACCTGCAACATTTTTATCTTACTCATCGCTGTTTTCTCCAGATGAAATCACAAATATCTTTGGAGTCATACTGTGCTCTGTACAATTGGAATGACAGATTTTTTCAAAGCCTTTCTCTAGCATCCAACAAAATAGCTTGAAAATATCCTTGTAAACTCATCTTGGTGAACTTTCCAAAATTTTTCAGATTTATTACAATGTTCCAAGAAAAAAAAAAAAAGAACTCTTACAGCTTTTTCTGAGATTTCCTGAGTAATTCCCTGCTTGCTTGCACAGATGTTTTAAACTATTTGTCTGTTCTACGAACCCAAGTTTTTCTAGAGTTAGCAAAACTGGATTGGAAAATCTATTCTTAGGCCAAATGCTGCTGCTGGAAGACGTACTAATTCACTGTGACAAGCATTTTAAAGGCTTGCTGATTCACAATCCACCTACACACTGCCTACCCCGTGCAGCCTGAATTAGCTGTCATGGTTGTTAGGCCTCTGTTAAGATGTAACATCTGACCCTTCTCCTTAACTTTTGTGCTTTGGAAGCACTTACTGTTGGCTGCATTATGGTGGTGCCCTCCAGTGCCATGATAATTAAGACTTTTCTCAGTGATGGCCCATAAAATCACCATGAATTTATAACTCTGTCATGAAGATTCCCTGGGACTCTGAGCTTAATCAGCAAAGTGAGTGTGACTGTATCAAATTCTGAGCGGCCTTTTCCTTGGGACAAGGGAGGGGTGAGCTGTGCACAAGCTCAGGAACACAGCATTACTAAATTATTACTAAATTACTACTAAATTACTAAAGAACACTAAATGTATTCTTAAAAGTGACATTGGTGATGCCAAGGCCATCGATGCTTGATGTTATTCCCAGGATTTCTGGCTTCGACCTTATTGCAGGCTGTGCATCAGCTGTAGCACAGTGCAGTGAGCCCTTGCTCTACTCTGTAACACATCAGTTGCCAACAATAAACTCACAGAGAGAATTTCAACAGCACTAACAGCACCCCCCTGTGCACACCCAGCCCTGCTCTCTCTCCTGGACGGGAGAACCCCGATCCCTGTGAGCTCCAGGCCTGAGCACAGCCGTGGAACACACGAGGTGCTCCGTCCCCAGCTCCCTCATAACTCACCACATCTGACCCCCGGGTGCAGCTGTCCCACCCCACAGGACTGCTGTGGCTCTGAGGGCTTGAGGGCCTTCCTGGCCACCTCGTGGTCCGTGCCCGAGAGGCGGATGCGGAACTGGTCCCTGCTGACTGTCTTCCGCAGGGTGCGGATGGTTTTCCGGAACCGCTTCTCCGTCTTCTTGCGGGCACAGCGCACGTCGCAAGTGTCTGAAAGGCACCAGGGGTGAAAACTGCCCTAAGTGACCGTGCACAAAATCCCACCCAATTCCCACTAACCAACTCAAATCACTGAGAAAGTGACTTCTGGGAACAAGTCTGAAATCCTCGAGGACAAATACGCTGAGCAGCTCTTTGATCTTTGGAGCTATCTCCATCCCTCACTCTTTCTGAAGCAGTGAAATTAATGTTCAAAACAGGAGATACTTTTTATCATCATTTTGCATACAGACAGAAGTGAAAAATACAGAAATTAAGGAGCAAATGGCAAGAAGCTTCACAGCGCACCTGGAATTATTTTCCAACCAACCTGTCACCTCCTTCCGGCTCGTTTCCAGTTCAAAGTCCGCAGTGATAAAAATCTCTCTAGTCGTTGCCAGTCTACTGAGGGCTCCGTGAACTTTCTTGCCAGAGCTGCATGTTAGGTTTACATAGTGGAAGCTCTCCATTACTGAATTTTGTCTCTCTGTATGAACAAAACCAAAGGAAGCAAAAGCTTGGCCAGGCCTGTTATTGGACATTCACCGGTGCTCAGCACGTGGGTCATCGTGAAGAGTTAAAAAGGAGCAAACCATCACCTCCATGGGCCAGTGAAAGAACAGCTTGGCCAGTCTCTCACCTGATGCACCCTCACACAGAGTCATGGCCATTCTCCTGGCTTCAATGAGGAAACAAGGTTTAGGTAAAGGAAACAGCCAGAATAAGCTCTGGTTCTGGAGGACACAACTTGTCACTGAGCATTCAGCTCAGTTCCTCACTGTCACTCTGCTAAGGACAAACAATCAGACACACTGATTCATCATATTGTCTAATGACTCCTTGCCCCATTTTTTTTTTTTTAAGTACTCCTCCTCATTTTCTGCTGACTTTGTAAATTCCCAGGCTATTCTTTCTGCTTTGTAACAGATGGAAGAGCTGACCTCACTGCATCCATCTGGGGCTGCTGAAGTATGAAAGGAAGACAAGAGACAAGAGGAATAACCCTATGACAATAGTGTCAGCATAAAGGTCAGGAGATTTTTCAACAAGGCACCAGACAGTAAGGAGCAGGTGAGAAAGGAAAGAAGAGAAAGATAAAAAGAGGAAGAAAAAGAAGGGATCAAATTATTAAAAAGGATGGTCGATTTTACTGAGAATTTACTAGCAGTATTACAAACAAAAAAAATAAGGGCTTTCCTAGCAAGACTGTGAGGATGCCACAAGGAAATCCTGGGATCTGAAATAACTGTTGCAGGAGTCATGGCCAAGCAGGAAGAAGTGAAGAACAGAAAATCTTCAGTCCTCTGTGCTTTGTTTGTGGTGTTCTTCATATCTGGAAAGCACTTAACCCCTGAGCTATGGCTCTAACCTGCTTACCTGCATTTTTAGATTCATACCTGGTAACATCTGCTCCAGACCTTCTTGAAACATCTCAGTCTTTTTCAAACTACATTTTCCTTCATTTAATTTAAAGGTTACGCTTATCTTGATGGCTGAAGCATCTTCAGGAAGAAACAATGAAACACATTATTTTTTAAAAAGGAGTAGAAAACTGAGATAGCCCTAATGTCACACCACAATGATGACAACAAAAAATATGCTGACATGACGTGATCATCACAGAAAACGTAATGAGATGTCAGAACCCCCCTGTTGTGAAGCTGGTTCACAAATGTAATGAGAATGAAGTGTTGTACATTTTATTAGGGGGGAAAAAAAAAGAGAGAGAGACAGAGAAAGGAGATCAAGACCAGATCTACTATTGGCTGAAATCAAAGGAGATACTTCAAATCATTTCAGAAAGTAGTTTATGTCTATGGCTGTAAATGCCTTCTAAACATTACAGTCCAACCTAAACACACTGTGTGTTGCCAACACTGTCCAGGTTTGGATGACTAAAAGGAGACATAACTCCTGGGCTAAGTGTTTATTTCACTACTGATCTTTTTCTTTATTTTTAAATCTCAGTTTGAATGATGCTGATGAAGCAGCATAAGGGGAATTTTTTGCAGCAATCATGAACTACAATCACAAGGAAGAAAACAAGTGATAAATTATAAGAGGGGGGAAAAAGTCAACAGAAATACCTTTGTTTCACAGTTATCAATGAAAATAAATAATTCAATCTATGTAACAGTAAATGTGGTGATTACCCAGCCAGCTGGAAGCATTTGCATTTTGCTGCTTTTTCTTAAGCTGAGAGGACCTGCCACAGGTGAGGGTGTAGGCATCTTGTGTTCCTAACAGACAGACAGACAGTAAAGACACAGGCACAGTGCACTGAGGACTCCTGTAGCATGAAACACATTTTAAACTTGTTGACTGGCATCAACACACAATGCTGTTCATACAATACTCCACATTAGAGCTTGTCTCTTCCTAAGCCATTCAAAGGATTCAGGAAGAGAAAGAGCATCAGTCCCACAAGCAGCAGCTGAGTCCTGTGGGACGGAGGGGCTGTGTGGGCAAAATCCCAGACCCCACGCAGGGCTGGAATGCCTTTGCCCCATTCACCAGTGCTTCTGAGGGCCAATTAAGGAATGGCCCAGGGAGCACAGAGAATTCTTCCCTGTCCTCCCCAGCTTCAAAAAGAGACTTGTGAGAAGGGAATCTGAGGGTAGAGTGGTTATAAAAGACAAGGAAAGTGGGGCTTTCCTGGACACTGCCAGGGATATGGCCCTTTATTATCTGCAGTGAAAGAGGAAAGATCTCTGTTTATTGACTGCTTCTTGGGGCTTTCTTGACAGTGAGGAGGTTGGCCCCTTACCCTCTGTACAGGATCATGTGCTCAGTTCTGTTAGCTCTGACTTACCAGAGAATACCTGGACATCTGGAGAGCAGCTCAAAAAGCATCTATCACTCCCACCACTCTTAATGCAGTGCAGCAACACCTTGGGTGACACATTATCAGACAAGGGATCTTTTGTCTCTAAATAGGATAAAACAAACACTCACAGCATTAAAACATCTACCTTCACCCTACCAATAAATCAGCACGCAGCTGCTTTTGTAGCCAGTACCTGAGAGCACCCATGCAATTATTATGCTGTTTAGACAGAAAATTCAAGCCAAATAAAATCACTGGAAGATCACACCACAAAAGTAACTTCCTTTATCATGAGCAAGCCTTCTCATGCAGAGGAACAAAAGGAAATAGAAGAATGAGCTAGATAAAAGCACAGGAAAGAAAGCATCAAAATCCCTCAAAGTATCTCCTGTTTTTGGGGTTGGTTTGCTGTTTGTTTTTATGAATTTCCACATCACTACCATCATGCCTTGCTAAAAATTAAAGCAGAATACCATGAACAATGACTCATACCACATAACTGAACAGACCACCAAATTTGACTGTAACCATATGGCCCACCAGACACATCAGTAGTAGAAATGTATTTATATTAGACACCTTACCAACACAGTCCTTTTTATTCCAGTGTAGCTTGTAGTTAGACTGACACAGGCATTCATAATCTCCCAGTGTGTTCACACACAGCTGCTGGCAACCACCATTGTTGATGCTACATTCATTAATATCTGCAGAGGAAAGGTAAAGATACTTTTTAAAAGTTCTCTTCCCAAAATTATGTACTCCAACTCCACTAGGTAAGTGTGGACACAAATACTGCTCAGTAGAGTCTTGAAAAGACTTCAAGGATTCTACCTGGACACCCAGCTTGAATCAGTTTGTCCTCATGGAAATCCTTTGATAAATGTCAAAGCAGACCAAATACTGGTGGCTCATAATTAAACAATATCCAGCCTCAGCAATATGATAACAAATCAACTCTAAGAAAAGCAAATCGAGTCAAATCTGTGTTGCATTGTGTCTGGTTAATTAATATTTCTAATTTTAAATAAAACCAGAGAACAGAGTAGGATTCATACTGACCAATGTTCCAAAGTGCTCTGATAGATGCAACTACTGTGGAACACTTGGGCTCTGGGGCAAACACACCATTGTGTCCCCCTTGTCTCTTTTGGCCAATTATCCAATTTTGGAGCCTTGTCCTGCCCAGGAAATGCCAACAGGAGGAGAAATTAGTGACAACACAGCACATGCTGCCTCTGGTGCACACTTGCATGCTGATGCAGAATGCACCATTCAGCAGTGCTGCACCCCAGGGTCAGCACTGGGGCCAAAACTATTTATCCTCTTCATTAAACCTGGATGGTGGGACAAGAGCTCACCCTCAGCAAGGTCAGAGATGAGACAAAACTGGGAGGAGTGGCTGATGCACCAGATGGTTGTGCCACTATTCAGAGAGACCTTGACTGCCTGGAGAAATGGGTCAATAGGAATCTCATGAATTTCAACAAAGGGAAATGCAAAGGTCTCTGTCTTTGCTGCTCAGATCCACCCTGAGGAGGGCTTCACTTCTCTCCCAGAGCTTTGTGGCAATTGTACATAAACCCAGAAAGCTGCCATCAGGAAACCTGTTGAAAGTCCCATCAAGTTTGTGCATCTGAGGGTACCTACTGCCACACACACTTATCTCAATGTTAGTAAGTTCTTATCACTGCTGTCCCCCAGACTAGACCCCCTCTAAGTAACAATTTGTTAGAAAAGACTGTAAAACACATTACAAAACCAGTCTGATTTGGAGGAAAATGTACTTTTAACAGAATTGAGACAGCAGGGGTAGGAATGAGCAGCAGAGGAAAAATGGAGAAAGAAGTCAACATCTTAAATTGGTAGTGATGCCTAAAATGCCACAAATCTTTGGTTTTCATTGACCTTTTCTTAGGATGCCAACCTCTTATCTCCAACACTTACTGACTTCTCCCACAGAGGTCAGAAGGTGTATTCTCAGTGTCCTATCAGCTCTGACCAGCCTGTGAAGTTCTTGTCACTGCTGTCCCCAGATTAGACACCCTCTAAGTAACAATTTGTTAGAAAAGACTGTAAAACACATTACAAAACCAGTCTGATTTGGGGGAAAATGTACTTTTAACAGAACTGAGACAGCAGGGGTAGCAATGAGCAGCAGAGGAAAAATGAAGAAAGAAGGCAACATCTTAAATTGGTAGTGATGCCTAAAATGCCACAAATCTTTGGTTTTCATTGACCTTTTCTTAGGATGCCAACCTCTTATCTCCAACACTTACTGACTTCTCCCACAGAGGTCAGAAGGTGTATTCTCAGTGTCCTATCAGCTCTGACCAGCCTGTGATTGCCAGTCAATGAGGGACTTACTGTGGTATGAGGATTAATTAACATCTTCTGCATGGGGGTATGACAAGAAAAGACCAATTAGCAGCCAACAGCAAAATTACAGCTCATTTTCCTCACTGGCAGCCAAAAGAAATTGAATTAATGCAGAGGAATTAATCCAAAGTTATGTTTTACTAAGTAGAGCATATCACAGTATTATTCCTTATCCAGATAAGTTCCCATGTTCATCAGGATAAAACACAGTGATGTAACCTTATTTGCAGAATTTCTAGAGGCAGAGGGTAGAACAGACAGGCACACAGGGATTTCTGAATTGTTTTCTCCAACTGTGCTCATTCTGCCTCAGAAATAAACAGGTCTTACTCAGAATTGAGTAAACTTTGGACTCAGTAAGGTCTTGCCTAAAGCTTATATAAAACAAGCTTGATTCCATTTAGTGTCCCAGTTATTCATGTTTCCTCATGTTAATTCTGGGAACTTGTCAAATGTCAAGCTTCTATGAACTACTTTCTCTTTCCTTGTAGGAAAGACATAAAAATTTAAGAGTATTAATCTTGGCCAGTGCAAAGTGGCACTACATCAGCTAAATTCCAACCTACACCACATGAGGATCTGACATGTGCACCTGCAGAACTGTAATTTTCAGAGTTGTTCAGAGCTCCCTGTTCTTCAAGCCCTACTCCACTGACTTTTCACTGAAGCCAATGACTCTTCTGCCTGTGGAAATTGTATTGAGTTATGGATTTCAGATCCAAGCACAAAACCCATCAGTTTGTCCTAATAGTTACAGGTCCCTTTTGCATGCTCAAAATCACTTGGGCAAAGACAGGAATAAGCAGGATCAGTTTCTCCTTTCCCTGTGTCTCATTATCACAGCAAGGGGTAAAATTTACACTGGGTCTGCCTCAGTCTGTGTCCTGCAGGGACTGTGAGCAGGCCAGCGGGAGCCTGGCCCTGCCCCAGGGCTGTGCAGTGTCTGTGACTCACCTGCACAGTGGGTGAAGCCGTACAGGGCGTATCCCTTGTTGCAGGAGCACTCGAAGGTGCCGGGGTGGTTGATGCACGTGTGGTCGCAGGCCCGCTCGAAGGAGCACTCGTCAATGTCTGCAAGGTGTAAAGGGAGCCATCAGCACCCCTCAGGCTGCCCAGGGAGCCCTGAGGAGCCAGCAACCGCAGGGATGTGCAGATTTATGTGAGCCACGCAGATTCTTTCAAAGCACATCGTGTAACGTAATGAAATGACAGTTTTCATAAGAATGCTCGGTTTGCCAAACAAGCTTTTCCTTGGCAAGCGCAAAAACTGCTGTTACATTTTTACAATTATGTTTAAATCAAATTATTTCTCTTCTATGGGAGAAGAAAAGTGCTGACAAAACTCGTATTTTATTAGGATTACTCTACATAGAAGTTAACTGTATGAAGGAAAGTATTGCCTTTGGTTTTTTTCCTCCCTAAATGAAGCTCTGTATGAATATCCAGCACCTGATTTAGGTCTGCTGAAAATCAGAGTGTTGTCTGAGTGTCTGAGAATGAATATTCATTATACCATCAAAAGTACCTAAAATTTCCGCACTAGTACATTTTACATGCCAGGTAAGAATGTTGCAAGACAAAAAAAAAATTCACATCAACTTCACTAGCACTTTTCATCAGTCTTTTTTCTTGGACATGCAGCACAATATCACTTTTGAAACAAGGGAAAGTAACAGAAGTGACAGGGGCAAAAGGGAGATGCAAGTCTAACAGATTTCATTTAAATAAAACCCCAAACTATCTTGAAAATCAGATGTTTGTACAGTAAGTTTTTTTCCATATAAATAGTTGTCCTTCTTTGCCTATTTATAAAGGATAAGAATGCACCAAAAAACCCAGGTGAAAATTACTTTCTCTTGGTCAGGTCAGTTTTCTGAAAGTCACCTTTAATGTCATCTGGTTTCCTAGGAAATCACATAATTCACCATTTGGCTGACTGAATTGACATTGTTTCATCTTGTTGCTTTTCCACAACCACAGACCATTTTGATCTTCACCATTTTGATTTTTTTGTGCATTTAAGCAGCTTAAATAGACTTGCTAAATCTATATGTACAAACCACTATGGAGCAAAGCAAACATGCTTTGTAGGTCTCACAGGAGAAATCCATGTCATCCTCAAGAGCAAATGCTCCGTGGTGTTTTAGGGAACAGAGATTCTAGTCTGTCTACAGACCTATAATTTCAGAGATCACGTTATATCTTTTTCCTTTAATAATGAGCTCATGGCAACTAAATATCCTATTAAGAAATAATACTTCCATTGCAATGGTGAATCAGTCAGAATGATTGAGAGAGATACATTGCCTAATTTTCCCTGTAAATTATTTTAAGATCATCAAGGCAGGGAGAAGCATTAACCTCATAGAGAGGTTTTAATATGATGCTGCCTCTGTCCCTTCCAGATAATAGCTCACTGTGCCATTAAACTTATCTCCTACAATAGCATCAAGCCAACTGTATTAACTCAACAGCTGTTTCAGAAGAAAAAAATCCAAACTGAGGAATGGAAATGATTCTGGAGTGCATTATCACTTCATCATTGTAGTAGATGTCCAAGCCACGCTGATTTGTCCTACTTTTGTTGTACCATTGTCTCTCCAGTGCACATACCTTGACAGGACTTCTCATCTGTTAATAATTTAAATCCTTTTCTACAGCTGCAATCAAAACTGCCAACAGTGTTTTTACAGAAATGATCACAGCCTCCATTATTGGACTGGCATTCATCAATATCTGTAACAAAAAAAAAAAAAAAAAGCCTTTAACAAATTAACATAGAGCTTCAGCACTCAACCTACTCCCACTGCCAGATTCAGAAAACAAGTCACGTCCAGTCAGCTGGAGGAGCCCAGAAACAAAATCTAGTGAGACTACCACAAATTAAGGAAGGAAGAAAGATCAGATCCAACTCTTAAGAATGATCCAGCCCATTCAGCCCCAGGACAGTTATTTGCTCTCATTTAATGTATCCCTGTCAGTTGCATTTGGGCAATGCATTCATAAAAGACCATTCCCTAAGTTCTGTTTGGAAACACTTTGGCTCCAAGGCTCTCTAAGAGGTTTCAGTATTTTAAACATTCTCTCCATTTCCTTTCTGTAAGCCCTGCAGAAATCTCAGACAGAAACTTCCTGCACTACCCTGTCCTTTTCATGGCAACATTAGAATGAGGCCTTTATCTAATATTAATTGACTCAGGCCTGGGGATTTCATCATTTTTACTTAGCAGAGCAGCCTTAACATCTAATTACTGGAAAAGCAATATAATATACAACTTAACCGTGCCTTTGCTCCTTGCCAGAGCTCTCATTAGAGCTGCTTGGAGCAGTGTATGTTTATAAAACACATCCCAGTTTACACACTGGTGTTTACTTACCAAGTCTCCTGATGCCCAACCAGGCTGTTGGGCTGGGTACCTGTGAGCACCCACACACCTGCCAGCCTCAGTGCTGACCTCTGCTTAAACACAGAGCTGTTGTAGCTCTCCCAAACCTGACCTCTGGAAAACGAGGCACAGCAGGTGGAAGTGGAGAGGGGGAAGGCAGACAAGAAGAGATTCTCTGCACGTGATACACCTGATGTGAGGAAACCACAGCCTCTACCCAGCTGCAATCCTTCCTGAGGTCAGACTGCACACACCAGCTTCCCTCTGGACACTGGGCTGCCTCTGTTTGGAGATTTGTATCTTACAGGACCTGGTAACACCTATCAGGTGTGCAGGAGTATGAAGCCCACCTTTGCAGGTCTTGCCATCGAACTGGAGGGTGAATCCCACGGGGCAGCTGCAGTGCACTCCGGTGGAGGTGTCCTTGCAGGTGCGATCGCAGCCGCCGTTGTTCACCGCGCACGTTTCTGGCAACGACACAGAGCTCAGGTTTCCCCAGGGAAATCAGAACCAAGAAACATCATGGGATACGAGGCACAGCCCCAAGCACACTGCTGTTCAAACATTCAGCCTAGAACACATGAGCAACTGCTAAATACACGTGTTGGCAAACTCCCTGCCTCAGCTATTTCCAGGCTTTTTGTGAAAACTCTACAAACAAAAATGCTGTCTTCTGGGTATTCCATTTGTGTCTTAAACACAAATCCCTGCTCCTTGATGATGAATCTGTTACTGCCAGTCAGTTTCCTTACACCCCCAGTGAATCTTGGCTGATCCCCTGACACTTCCCACCAATGAGACACTTGATTACACTCAGCACTACTAAATGAGTTTTCTTAAATCCCTCCTGACTCATCTTCCCTACTACCTGTGCTCCCAGTCATGGTGGGTAACACCCTCACTGAGCATTCCCTCAGCCTGAGAATTCAGGTGCCATTCCAACCAAAGTTTGCTCCTCTAACTCCCTGCTATGCAAACTATGCCTAAATCTCACCGAACCTTGCTAGTGAGCACTCCACATCCAGTCAAACAGAAATATCTCACTCTTTGGCATCCATCCTCTTGTCATCCATCTAAGCACCTCAGTCAGTCAAACAGCCTTTTCACTGGCTGGACAAATACAATTTTACATGGCATGTGTTGATTGAGAGAGCCGCAAAGAACACCTTTTTTATGTCTGCTTTTTGAAATCTACTTTCTTCTAGCTCTGTATGCTTGTTTTCTGCAGCATCAAGCAGATGCTACTTATTCAAGTTTTGAGAGCTTTACTGGTTTATTCCCTCCCTGTTTCTCATCTCACATGTAGTATTGGCAGGCTGTGTCCAATCTCCAAGGGAAGACAGAGTACATCTTCTTTCTTCCTCTGTCATTCTTTTTGAAAATAAGGCTATTCATTATATGTCTGAACACTAGGGAATGATATTATTTCCTGAAGAGATAATGGATCATCTCAGGCAGAATTCAGCCCAGAGCTGAAGGTTACCATAAAAAAAACCAAAAAAACCCCCCACTAATTCTTCAATCTAAAAGGTTTCAACAAGCAGCAGAATTATTTTGGATCAGCACTTTTACCCATAAGCAAGCGTCGCTTCACTCTCTTGTCCACATCAGCTGCTGCTGTGGTGTTTCCCTCAGAAACTTCAACAGCTTCTTCCCTCTCTGTAAGGAACATGAAAAAAGCAAGTGAGTAAAGGTGCCCTGACCAGAACCCTCACCTGACATCCAATACACACAACCAGCTGCATCACACACTGAATCAGAGACAGTCAGAACTGATCAGGCAGAAATAACCTATTTTTAAATAGCAAGTAGTAATAAGAATCATGAAGACCTTTCAGTCAAAACCATGAGAATGTTTTGCTTTTGTGGCTTCCTTACAAGTCATGTTTGCTTCAGTATCCTTAACAAAACAAAAGATGTGCTGCAGATGTAGTAAAGAGCAGCAAGATGAAAGAGCTAACTGAACTGCTCTGGTAGGAGTGCACTGTCACCATCCATCCTGGGCTAATTACAGCAACCAGCCAGTCATGCCTGAGCATTTGATTTCAATCAACAGACAACAAACTCTTCCAGAGACTGGAAGAGTTATAAATCTTAAGTGCTTTCTTTACTGGATAACTGCCTTGCCAAAACTATACATTAATTGATTTCAGAGTCCCAGTTTTTACAGATGTACTCCTTGCTTACACTCTCTGGCTCACGCTACTGAAGAAACTGAACCTAAAATATCCCAGAGGGAAGGAAGCCTGCTTTGGTCAGTGACAGGCCTCCTGTTTCAGGGGGACCAGTGATAACTACAGGTTGCAACAGTATTAGGTAGCTACTTAAATAGGGAAGCATAACTTGCCTGGAATCAGGTTCCTTAATTTTGCACTCCTTGACATTTTCTAGCCATACTGTTATGAGGAGCATTAATCATGCACACACAGCACCAGCACACCCCCCTGGAGCCCCTGCAGTGCATACTGACCCAGGCAGGTTTTCCCATCCACGTGCATGACGTACTTGGGGTGACAGCCACAGACAGGCCCGCTGTCAGCATCGTCACACGTGTGCTGGCAGCCGCCGTTCCCGTGGTTGCACGTCACTAGGGAGAAAACACAGGGCACTCTCACAAGAACTTCCAGCACCTCTGAAGGACAGTGTGCAGTCCCACTGCCACCTGAGCATCCAATGCACCTTCCTAACGTGCCCCTGTCCTGAAGGGCTCTGCGAGAGTGAGACACTGCACAGCTCTTCATGGAGCTGAACTTCAGTTGTTATGGATGATGGCACAACTCCCAAACTGCAGACACTGCAGCAATCAACAGACCTGTGTGACAGTGTCCAGAAAACACATCAATTCTGGTTCAGTTCAAAGACACACAGTTCAGAGGTGCCATCCCACCTTAGCTAAAACACACCAAGTCCCATCTCACTGCAAACAGAGCACTATTTGTTCACTTTGGGAAACCATAAGCACATGCAGAATGTTGCCTACAAATGCAGCTCCTCTGGTTCTTGGACAGCTCAAATCCTGGTCGGCATTCGCAGGCAACTCCTCCTTTGGGTGTTTCTCTGCAGATGTGGGCACAGCCATGGTCTTTGTTCATGCAGCTCATGCCTTCTGTAAAACAGGAAAGGTACAAGAGCATCAGCATCCTCGGCAGCTCTGGGTGCAGGCAACAAGGTCAGTTCAACACACACAGACTAAGCCTCTAACTCTGGGAAGACTCTGCAGGGTTGGGACGAGAAGTTTCAGCTCATAGAGAGGAAAGGCAGCGAGTCCAGTCCTGCAAAGTCAATGGCCCCAAGGTTTCTCCTTCTGTGACCTTTTCTGTGCCTGTTCTTTGACTGCAAGGCCAAAGAGCGACATCCACAGATTTGTAGAGCATCTGCACTCTCATCCAATGCTCTCACTTTAAACTTTTAGGTGTTCATAAAACCCCCTCATTTCTTTTGAAAAAGTGGCAATGTCCAAGTCTAAAATGAAGTTCTTATTTCTCTGCTTAAAAGAGCAGCCAGCAGACATGGGAATGTTTAGAACAGCAATCACAAGGGCCATCCCAATTTCAATCCCTGGCTTACAAAGCAGATTCCCAGAGTCATAACCTGTCTCAGCAGTGACCAAGTGCTGGGTCCTATCTCAGACCAGGCCAACGTGCAGATTGCACACATGCTGTACATCAATTCTCTTTATCATTAACCATTTTGGTTTCAATTTTTTTTTTCTGATTTCAGTCCACACCACCCAAGATAACCTCACTGGGTATTATCACAGTCTTCTGTATTTCTACACACTTTCCCAGTTAGACAGAATTTAGTGCCAGTGTCTGCTTTAACCAAATGAAGAACCAGTGTGACACTGATGACTGGATTTCTTTTGCTACACTTCCTAAAGCATTCTGTCATTTTTATCTCTGCCAGCTCTTGCACAGCACTCAATTGCCAGAGTGTTTTCCTGACCTTTGCAAAAGATATAAAGTCAATTAAACAGGGAGGAATAGTTTCTAAAATTATTGCAAAAGCTTCTTTCCCCTTCCTCCGTGGTTCAGACACAAATCAGTGTCTTTGCCATTTGCAAGAAGGTGGCACAGCCTGTGCACACACAACACAAAAACATCCAGCAGCTGGCTGAGTTACCCAACGGGATCAACTGACCAAATTAAACAAATAGGTTTTCTTTTAACAGAATACCACAGATTTTTTATGAAGTCCTCTACAGTGCTACAAAACCAGGAAAGAGAAGACATCTGAATGCTCTCCTTGGGCGTACAGAGAGCACACCTTTACCATCAAATTCTCTGCCTGGGCACATTTGGTTTTAAAAGGACAAGTTACACCAAAATGCTCTTTCTTCCCAGTGAGAACATTCCATTTATGAAGACCAAGGGGAACATTCTTTGGCTGCAAGGGCTCATCCCACACCAGCGAACTTCTCTGGAGCTGAGCAGATGCACAATCAGGAGCAGAAGAGCAAGGGTGACCATGCTGCAGAAAAGGGACTGTCAATTCCACGCCCGATGTGTTTTTTAAACTTACACAGCCCTTTTTTCAGCCTTACTACTGAGTGAAGCAAGCCCACTGCACTGTGAGGCAGAGGTCGGCCCATCACCATTATTCCACTCACTTCAATTAGATCCTTTTTCCACACTGCTATTCTCACCCCCTGCAGCACCAGCTACAGGACCCTTTCTCTATTAAGACAGCTTTAAGCAACAAAAGAATGGACATTGCAGAGCCCAGATTATTCTGCTCTACTGGCTTTCTGATTCCTTTCCCACAGTGAGGGCTCTCCAGAAGTCCCACAAGACAATGAGACTTCAAATCCTGCAGCACACAGGCACAGCCCAAGGAGCCCACAGGAAAGCTGTCACCCATTATTGTGTCAGTCAAGGAAGGAGACAACCTATGAGGCCACAAATTAGCCTCATTAGCTCCGGTGTTTTTGTGAAAGTTCTGGTCTTAAGCATGCAGTATGCTTTGGTCTGTTAGCTCGGAGGGGTTAGAGAGCATTAAGAGAATTATCAGCTTAGTTTCTGTCAACAAAGTTATTCTTTTGTCTCTATTGAGCTACCAAAGAGGAAGCTGTTCAAGCAGGTACTTTGGTAAAGTTCACTGGCACCAAACAAATGGTTTATATGCTCAATTTGGGATTGCTCCATTCTGAGTGAGCAGACTTCAATCAGGTCTCCACAGAAAGCTAAAACTCCTTTCCAGACCAGGATGCATTTTAATAACAACGTATCCATTGTGGAACAAGGTACTCCACCAAACCCACCAAAATCTAGCTGACCTAAAAGGCAGTTTCATAGAAGATACACACATCCACACATTCCAGGATTTATTTTGGGACTGCTGCTTGCTTCCAAAGCTGGTAGATCTCTCTCAGCCCTGTTTTACAAGGTTGTATTAAAGAGATGTCTGTAAAGCCATAAATGCTGTGTGGCTGCAAACTCCTTGGTGGACACAGAGTCTCCCAGGTCACATTGTTCCAGTGCTGTTGCAATGGCAGACTGTGCTCCAGAAACAAACCCCAAGCAAATGTTGGTCAAATCTCCCACACGCTTCCCAGACACACAATTTCTATTGTACCCTGGCCTACTGACCCACAAATATCTTGGGATGGATGGCTCTGGATTGTCCCACTCAGCCAAGAGAGGTGAACCCAGTGCCTATGTGCTTGAGCAGATCCTGAGCCAGGTGAGACCTTTCCGGCTGGATCTTCTTGAAGTTACCCAGCAAACCTGAGATCTGAGCACTCCTGTCACTGCAAAACAAGCCAGCAGCATTTCCCTATCAGGTCACACTAAATTAATCTCTTACATGTATGATCTGGGTTTAAATATTTATAAATTTTTGATCAGAAGGTGTCAGGACAACATTCCCAATCTGCTGAGAGCATTAAGGCTCCATTTAGGGCAGGTTCAAGCAGGCATTCTGTAGGACAGAGAGAGAGGAGGCAATGGTACAAAGAGCTACCAGACATTCTGAGAGAATAGAAAATGGTGAGGAGCACCAGCACAGCCAGCAGAGCAGGACATCCCAGGAATGCTGTAGTCTTTCATCACGCTGTCTACATCCTTGTGCTAAGGGAACTTTTCCCCCAAAGCTCTCCAGCTATCCCTGTTCTCTGCAGCCAAGGCTCCAAGAGTGACACTGGGATGGTGTCCTGTGTGTGAGTTCACACAGGATTCAAAGGTGGCTTTCATCCCCCAGATCCCCTTCATTCCCACCAATTCAGCACAGCCAGCAGAGCTATGACTGTGAGATTCCACAAGGGAGAGCAGCAAGATTTGCCATCCAGAACAATAGCAGCCACAAAGATGCACTCGGTCTTTACTCACAAAAAAAATCTGTTTTCCCTCAAAATTTTGTATTCCCTGATATGGAGCAAGTGGAACCCAGAAACAAGGTGCACATGCATGGCTGCCCTGCCATCTACTTCAACAGCTTCAAAAGGTTATTCCTTCTCCCACACAGATAAAGAGTAGCTCATTCCAGCAGGCAAGCAAGGATAAAAAACAGGACTGTGCACAACTTCCCAGAACACCTTCATTTCCTGTGGTTTAAACTCCAGGTCACTCTGCTTCTGTGTATTTAAAGGCCAATATTGCAGCCCACAGGGATTGATGATTGCAGCTCTCAGGCATTGATATATGAAGAATTTTAATGGGGCTGGGAGACAGGGAAGGATTGTTCCCTCATTTTACAGATAAGAAGCAAAACTGAATAGATGGTCTAGGCAGTAGGAGCCAAAATCTGCTTTGATCAATGCTGTGAGGTCTCAGAACCAGCAAAGTACAAACACTGAGCAATGCATACACAAGGCAGAGAACAGAAGTCCCAGAAATGAGCAGAAAAGCAGAGAACAAAGTGAGGGGAAAGATAAAGAAGAGAGATTTGGCTTACAACACACATGCCCACCCAAGGGGAAAAAAAAAAAAAAGTTTAAAAAAAATGAGGAGAACCCTAAGCAGCGCTTTACAGTAATGAAGGGGGGAGGGGGCAAGGTAGAAGGGAAACAGTCACAGCATGAAACCTGAAAAAATGGCTTTTAAAGAAAGCAAAACAAGCACTTTAATGTTTTACTAAGAAGAAAAAAACATATCAATCAAAACAGTGTGTTGAGGTTTTTCTTAAGACTGGTTTTGATAAAGATGTATTTTATTAGATAGATTTTATGGAGGAAAAAAGTCCATCTTTTTTGTCCTCTTTGTTTTCCTTTTCAAAGAAAAATACCTATGTTAAGTGGATGTTTGGTGTTATGGAAAAAAGGCCTTTTAGGAAAAAAAAACATTAAGATAAATTAAATGCATCTTTAAGAAAAGAGACAGAATTCCAAAGGTACAAAGAAGGGAGCAAATATTGGTGACAGGGAATGCTGCTGCTCTCAGTTCAAGAAAGTAGAAGGTACTCAAGTAGCAGCAAGTATGAAAAAAGAGTTGGAAGTTTTTCCTCTCTTGGCATCAGACAAGACAAGGAGTTCAAGCAACCAATTTCAGTCCTCAGAGACTCCTCCATGGGTGCACAAACTCACATCCCTGCTGTGCCTTGTCCCAGCACTGCTGCCCCTCTGCCTGGCCCAGCCCTGCAGTGGCAACCTGAGCCATGGCCCGAGGAGCCACCAGAGCCCCATGAGACCAAGCCCAGGGCCAGAGGAGCTGAGGACACAAATTCTTAATCCAAACAGAAGAGCAGTTCAGCTCTGTCAGATGACAGCCACCTCAGCACCCTCATCTGTGGATGGCCATATATGTCTATAAATGTTGATCTCTTCACTTTGGGGATTTTTAGAATGAGATTTGTTTATTCATGCTCAGATTCCTCTTAGAGTTATGCCAACAATAAGCCATAGATTAAAGAAACCCTTGCAGCTTTAAGCACTTCTCACTAAAATTTTCACTGTACAGTTCAATGGACAACTCCCTGATCTGAGCAACCACTTTAAAGCATTCCCTAAGGGCATCCAAAATAATTTTGTTCCATCTGATGTCTAATTAGATATCCAAGACTCTGATCTCTCAAAGGTCGCTTCACAAAGGTTTCACTCAAAACAAAGCAGGAGATTTGAATACCTTTGGGGCTGACAAACAATAAATCTCTTAGCTGAAACCTAAACATTGTAGAGGGAATCTGAAAGGTATCTGAAGGTAGTGCAGCTACTGCCCTGTAACTAAAGCCAGTGAAAATGCCCAGAACTCCGTTTGTGGCCATCCCCTGGGTCAGGGCAGAGTTTTGCTGCCCAGCAGAGCACCAGGGCCAGCGGGGGTGCAGAGCTCAGCCTGTGACAAGCGCAGCACCGCAGACATGCAGCCGGGATCAAAGGGGAGGAAAGGATGCAGCGCCTTCAAAGCCAATTAGAAGATCCTGACACACCGCTCCTTTTCAAAAGCAGTGAGGACTTCAAGACCCTTCACAGCTTTGAAAACATCAACCCAGAAACACTTTAGAAGGCGGTTTGGAGCTTTTGCCCGCGGCTGCCGCTCGGCGCCGGGCGGGCGGTACCTTCGGAGCGGTGGATGCAGGTGTGCTGGTTGTCGCTGAGGAAGAAGCCATCCTTGCAGCGGCACTCGTAGCTCCCCACGGTGTTGACACAAACGTGCTGGCAGCCGCCGTTGTTGAACATGCACTCGTCTGTGTCTGAGAGAGAGGGAAAGACGGAGATGAGCTTTGTGCTGTCACCAGGGCACGGCGCAGACAGACATCAGCTGGGCTGGGACACCCCCGGCTGCCCTGGGGGTGCTGCTGTGCTGTCACCCCTGGAAAGGGCATTTCTCCGGCTGCTCTTGCCGTGTGTGCAGTCTGCCCCCAGGCACAGGGCTCCCAGCCAGTGCTGGCCAGCCCAGGCAAGCAGAGCTGATGGCCACAGCCTTGGCAGAGCCAGCCCAGGAGCCCCAGCAGCCAGGGGAACATTCCCTGTCCCCAGTGCACCCCACAGCCCAGGCACACCCAGCTCAGCAATCACATGGCTGCCTCAATGGGACAGCCACCCTTTGCTTCCAAACCCATCCAGGCTTTAAAGGTTGTAGTGGTTTTGGTTCATTAATTTGAGATTTCTTTTCCCCAGGAAGCTCCACATCCTAAAGCAAAGGTGGAATAAGAGAAATACAATCCTCAAAATAAATTCAGCTAAACACCTATCTCCTGCTCCTTATTTCACCCTAGCTAGAATTCACACACCACATCTCTTCTGGTGCTTGGTTTGTCATCCTCCCCCCTCAAACCTAGGACATCATCACTCATCATCAGGGCTGCTGCTGTGCTGACTGACTGCGCAAGGACAAGAGCAGAAGTTCTGGAAGCAGATTTAATCTTGATTTTGCAACATTCAGAGTCTCAACAACACCAGAGAACACAGAAGGGCTCTGCTTGCAAGACAACCAAGAGAACCAAAGAGTAGGAAAACTTCAGCTAAGCCTCTGAACAACAGGATGCCCATCCCAATCTCCAATTCTTTGGAATTTTACCCCTTAATAAGCACAGGTTTTTGTAACCACGAGTGCCAAATACTTCTCCTAGACTAATTTTCAGAAATTTTAACAGGAACTAAAAAACACTCAGTCCCTTAAAAACAGAACAAAACCTTGCTGAGGCAAAGCACTGGTCTCATTTGCAAATTCATCTGTAACACCATGTTTGCTCCCTGTTCTGTTCATTGTTCCTGGCTAATAGTACAATGTTTTTAATTTAACATTGTAGCATTTCTGGCAGAAAACAGCTGGGTTTAAAAAAAAAAAAAAGGAGAAAGAGAGGCTTTTAGTAAGAAGCATAACATAGTATTACAACAGATTTAATGTCCACTGAAGGCAGTGAGTAAGTCAATTGGATGCAAAAGAATGTGACCTGCTGGAGAAAAAGAGCGGCTGACATATCTCCATCACAAAGACGCTGAGTATTTTAGAGTTCTGCAGTGATGTGAATGTGCAAACAATCATGAATAAACAGCCACCACGAGTCTTTAGTGCTACAGATTTGAACTCCAGCAGATGTTTCTGTCTTACAGACCTTGGAAAGCTTTCAAAAAAATCATCTCTTTCCAACAAGTAATTGTCTATTTGGCTTAAACCCAGGCGCACAGCAGAGATCTTCAAAAATAAGGGTGAGAGGAGGGCAACCCTGGCGTGAACAAAGTAAATAAACAGATTAAGAGAAGATGTGATCCAATTTGCTGCATGCCAAAATATTTATTTAACGTTTACATCACAACTCAAAATTGGCACATCAGTGGTAAAACCCTCACTGTAAGTCAACGACATTTTGTTTTATTTTATTTTATAGGTCTGCCATGCAATGCTGAGCAGCTTCCCAGTGACACAGCAGGTGGCAGATTTTGGTCTAAGTTATGTCAGTGGTCACAAACAGCCCAGCTGAAGAATGCCCTGGGTACAAAGAGAATACACACATGCCTTTTGGTGCCATTGTTAGAGGCAGCGTGCTCCTTCACATCCACCCTTCATGGTAACCTCAGCTGAACTCCATTCTGTGTTTACACAAATGCAAAAATAAGATGGATGTTCTGTTATTTTAAAGTATCCACAGATATTTTGTTTCCCTCTCTACTTTATTTAAATATTTGGAACCTGAGGAGGGGAGTTCACCCTCTCCTCCACCTACGCTGCAAAAAGCTGGGCACACAACAGGTTCCCAGCAGGTAAAACCCAACACAAAACCACTGAATACTGCAGAGTTTTCTGATTTGTCCCAGCAGAAGAGACAGCCTGGGGATGGTCTGAGCCCCACACTAGTGGGAAATAGCCAGCCAAACTAACTGCAATTATGCAGGGAGGGCAAGGTTCCCTCTGACTGCCATGGGTATGGGTGTGTGTCCAGGCACATCCACATGGGATGCAGCAGGAGAGGAAAACAACCATCTCTGAAAAAGCAAATGGCACAGGTAGCACAGGGTGAGCCACTGCCCAGCGGGGGTCCAGGAAGCAGGACAGCTTCAGCAGCCTGAGGCTTAGTCCCTCTGCTCTTCAGTGGCCTCCATCATACACAGCTACTGCACACTCCCAACATCCTCTCCTTTTGGGAATACTCAGAGTGAGAAGCCCCCACATTATAGATAGATTTGACAGAGAAGATCCCTAAGCCTGGAAACACACCTGACAACTGATCCTAGGCTAACTGTGGGACAAAGAGGACAGTGATAGCACATGTTCCTTTATATAAACTCATTTAGCATAATAATAGATAGCATTTGGCACACTTAAACCCAAAGCACTCCACAGAAATATAGCACAGTTATCCTCATTTACAGAGGGGAGAAAGAGCCACACTGGGATGGTACTTCAGTACCTGAAAATCCCTGGACTCACCAGCAACATTCTCTCTCTCTGAACTGACTGAGCCCAAGAGATGGCCAGGTGTTCCCCATGGATGCAGCCACAGGGCTGTGTTCCACAGCACTCACCCTTCCCACGAGCACACTCCTTACCCAGGCAGTTGTGGCCATCGTGAGCCAGCATGAAGCCGTCGTAGCAAGTGCAGCGGTAATTCCCTGGAATGTTGAAACACTCGTGGACACAGCCCCCATTGAAGTCGTTGTCACATTCATCAATGTCTGAGGAATAAAGCAAAAGTCAATATGATTGATGCCCAAGTGTTATAGACAGGGATATGACTGCCTAAGTGTGAGCAGCAACTGCTGTCCAAAATCATCGTCTTGCAAACACACTATATTTAATGCATTTCTTGCTGAATCACTGAGAAAACACCCTGAAACCCCCTTGCAGCTTTACCTTATGTTTTTTAAGGCCATAAACAACAAACTCATTATCATGCTGAGTGAAATGAACAGGTGAAACTCCATGCAAGTTTTGCCTTTGATTTTGCAAACAAGAAGTAAATCGGGTGACGAAACAATCACTATTTTGATTTTAAAGTCATCCTTCGTTATTTTCAGTGCTCTATTTCCTTAGAAATGCTCCATGCTGACACAGACAGAACGCTGCACTCGGCCCCTTTACCTTCACATTTCCTCCCTTCGCCGGTGTAGCCCATTTTGCACGTGCACTTGTACAGCTTGGGGGTGTTTTGACAAATGGCATCTGGGTGGCAGTCATCCAGCCCCAGGGCACACTCGTCCACATCTGTGAAGAGACAGCAGGCTCAGGAGGGATGCCAGCAGGAGGAGAGCAGGGCGTGCCTCCTGAACACATCCCTGAGGAGATGACAAGGCTGAGCACCTCTCTGTGCTGCCCACAAGAATGTTGTGTGGTTTTATGTGTCAGGACAGACACAAGCAGAGACAGCATCTGCACTTCAATTTCTGTCACATTCTACCTGCTTATGGATATATTTGTACGCAATTCAGATAAGCCTATGGTAAGCTTTTGTGCACATTTATAAATGCATCCAAACCAGTCTCGTAAGGGTTGGATGCTCCGTGAAATTCAGCTGATAGTTTCACAGAGATTCATCAGAGATTGTTAATCTTTCTGATTAACAAAAAGCAGTCACTGAAAGAGTTCTTGATCACATCCATGCATCATCTGCAGAAAGCCCAAGGATTTTGGAAATAACAAGGGGAGAGGATTGAAATGTATTTCAAAGTCACCACCAACAAGTTAAAAGACTGACTTACCATTAAACAGATGTACAATCGTAAAATAATTGGTTTTAATACAAGAATTGTATTTGGGGAGCAGCATTGCCAAATCATCTGACCAGCCATCTCAAAGCACAGCAAACTGAAGCAAAATATCCAGGTGGAAACTTCAGGGAAGAGGAAATGAAGAGAAAGAGAAACACCAACAGGAAGAAGTCCTGGAGATGAAGAAGTGTAGACAGAAGAGGAAGAAAAGTTACAGGCAGCAGAAGACATCAGCACAAGTTTTTCACACAGCAGAAGAAAACTGAAGCATGGAAACAGGAAGATTTCCAGCAACTGGCTAAAAGGGATAATTGTAGGAGCAACACCCCATGCAGGTACAAAAAGTGCCTCCTAAACCAAGAAGTAGTGCATGAGTATCAGCAGAAAGAGACTACTTCAATAGTCAGCCACTTTTTATGGTGGGGATCACTTTCCAAATGGAAATTTCAGCCAGCACTTCTCCCATTTACAATTATAGCATTCATCCTGCTCTTTTTTTTTTTTTTTTTCCTTTCCCCCAATCACAAAATATGCCTGTAGGTACTGCAGCAGCTGCCAACTGCAGAAAGTGTTCACTTGGTTTTAACTCCTAATGGGGTTTGGCAGTGGGAAACAAGGCAAAGAGCCAGTGTTAGAGCAGCAGTGCCTTCCTGGCTCTCAGGTGCACACAGCTCCAGCAGCAGCGATGGGGTCCCCAGATACTGCCACCAGCAAGAAAGGAGAAGGTGGCAAACAGCGGGAAGCAGCTGGGAAGAGCAGCAGAATCGGCTTCCTGTCAAAGCAGGGAAGTCAAGCCATTAAAAAATGTGGGAGGCTATGAATTGAAGGAGAAATCATGCAAGGAAGGGCACGGGCAATAGCTGAGGGGTCCCCAGCTAGTGGGGCAAACAGAAAGGATGGGCAGGGAAGGACAGACAGCGGGCATAAAGGAGCAGCAGCCACACGTGCAGATTGTGTGCCCTGGGCACCGCCAGCTCTGCCCTGCCCGAGCCAGGGGCACAGACCTGCCCCGGCAAGAGGGGTCCCAGAAAACACACGGCGAAGAGGGGGCTTCCCTCTAAGGTAGGACACAGAGACATCAAGCAGATCTCGTGGCAGCGGCAGGACAGCAGCTCAGCTGGGTTGTTATTTTTACACCGCCCCTCTGTGATCTGCAGCGTGCGGTAAAGAACCGCAACAAGAAGCCGCATCACTAATGCATGCAAAGGCGTGGAATGAGGGCTAGGAAAAATCCGTAGGCACAGAGAGAGGTATTTCCCCTTGCAGTGACAGTATCCCGAGCAGAAGAGAGACCCTGGAGGAACGAGACTGCGAGCAAACATCGCAGCCTTCAACTTGGCAGGAGGGGGCGGCGGGAGAATCCCGGGCTGGTTCCGCGGGGTCCGAAGGCAGCTTCACCCGCGGCACACACCCCCCTCCCCAGGTGCCCGTCCCGGCGCCCTCCCCGCTCCCAGGGCAGCCGGAACCGCCGGGAAAGCGGCGTTGGCACACCCGGGGAGCCCGAGCGCCCCGCGGGCAGCGACCGCCCGCGCCGGGCACGGCCCCGCCACGGCCGCACCTCGCACCGACACCGGCCCCGGCCCTTGGCCGCCGGCCTGGAGAGGAGAGGAGAGCCGGGACCGCGCGGTGCCCGCGGGGGGAGCGCTGTGAGGGGCTGGGGCGAGCCGGGGACCAGGGGCGCTCACCGGGCAGGGAGCGGGGACACTCACCGAGCGGGGACCAGGGGCGCTCACCGGGCAGGGACCGGAGCGGGGGGCACTCACCGGGCAGGGACAGGGACCAGGGGCACTCACCGGGCAGGGAGCGGGGGCACTCACCGGGCAGGGGCAGCGCGGCGGGGCCGCCCGGCGCGGGCAGCAGCAGGAGCAGCAGCGGCAGCGCCCGCGCCCCCGTCGCGCCGCGGCGGCCGCCGGACCCCATGGATGGCGCTGCTGCCGCTGCCGCCGCCGGGCGGGAGGAGGCGGCGGCCGAGGGAGTGTCTGGGGCGCCCGGCCCGCCTCGCACTGACAGCGGGCGCGGGGCGGCGAGGGCTGGGCGGGCCGCCCCCTGCCCTGCCCGGCACACGAACCGCCCCAGCCCCGCCCCGGCGCTCGCACACCTGCGGCGCCCCGAACGCAGGTGTCCGCGGAGCCGCTGCCTCCCGCCGGAGCGGGAATGCCGCACACGCAGGCTGCCGGGGCTCCCCGCCGCCCGGGAAGCATCGCCGGGCACGGACAAGCCCGAGCAGGGAGCTCGGGGCAGCCCGGACACACGCGAGGCGCTCCGGCCTCCGTTGGGTCGGTTCACTACAATATTGATGTGTTTACCGGGTAATTACAGCCCACTGCAGAGCGTGAATCCCTGGCTGAAGGCCATGCCAAAGCATCACCCCACCCCCAACGCAGCCCCATCCCACCTCCATTCCCAGCCAGGGATTTCTCACAGCTGTCGCTCCTTTGGCAGGTAAAATTGGCTCATACATTATTCACTGAAATTATCATTTCCTAAATAATGTCTGACCTTTCAGGCTGGGAGCAAAAGCAGGCAGTATTCTTTTCCACCCCTCCCTCCCATCCCCATTTCACTGCCCTTTCTCTTTTGTTTTGTTCTGTGAGAAATACCGAGCTGTTTCTAGTTGCAAGGGCGGTTTATACACATTAGTAAATCTTCAGAATGAAACTTTCCCTCAGTCTTTGTCTTTGTTTCCTTAATGGCAGCTATAAATTACCACTCTCTCACTGGAGCATTAGGCTTCATTGCTTTTGAAATGATCAAAGTTATTCTCTTTTTAAGTCCAATGAGAAGCAACCTTTTGTGTCTCCTGGACGGTTTCAGTCTTAGGCAATGTCATCTATAAATACATAAAGCTGCTCATTAAACACTCCAAGGATTTTCCAGCCCTGCACCATACCCCAATCTTCCCCTCACCATCAGAAAGCAATAAATGAATGAAGGGTTTCTCGCCAGTTTCCATGATCTCCTGAATAAACCATCATACTTGGGGTGGGAACTGGCACATCTGCACATCTCTCATCCAGGGATATCACTCAGGATGTCTCCACAAACAGCTCTCCCAAATGGAGAGGGAAGCCATCTCCCATCCAGGCACATGGCTCCAAACCACTCACAGAAAAGCTGGTACTCATTTCAGACACTGCCCAGGCAAGTCCCCTCAATGAACTCAACCAGTATTAATTAAATTAACTTTCATCACAAGATTTGCAAAAGAAAAGTAAGAACACATATGAAGAGTGTAACAGAAAAACCAGTAAGACACACTGAAGAGTCGTGTAACCAAAATATCCAAAGCTTTCTGAGGCACCGTAAAAGCAAAGCATCTTTCTTACTTCTGTAAACTAAAACATAAAGTGAGACATAAATATTTGGGAATGCTTAAGTTAGATCAAAAGATCCCACTGCAGCTTGGAAAACAAACAGAACAATATCAAATTTATCTTAGCTAATGAAGCCATTTCTTATACATAAAGCTCAAAGTGTTTTGTGAAGGATCCTGGCTATTATTTCACATATAACACACATTTGTTTATGATGAAGAATTGCCATTAAAATATCTCTTTAAAGACACAAACCAGACAAGCTCAGACCTCAACTCAGATGCCTTTCTGCAGCCTTTTTAACTATTTCCATTCACAGAGTCACAGTGACAGATGACTGCTCTAGGCATGAAGACCTTTACTGGGAGAGAGAGAAGCTAGAAAAATTCTTAAGATTCAACTTCAGCACTAAGTATGAGGAAAGGAAAACAACCATACCAGGAGAGTTGGACAGGAAGACAACCCAAATAGGACTGTTTGGGGATTTTTTTTTTTCCCAGCAATTTAAAATAAAATCAAGTAACAAAGTTTCAGGGAGGAAAATAGATCCTGCCAAACAGCTACTTCCACAGAGGTAAAATACCCAATTCCTCTCTGCTCTCCATTTTCACTATCACATGCAGTTGCCTTACACCGGGAGATGGAGACTTAGCTGCCACAGAGCAGCTGGATGTAAAATCTGCTTCAAAAATTGTACACCTGATGTCCTGAGCAGGGATGAATACTCTTGTCTGTAAATTTGGGTTGAAAATTGCTTTATGCTTCATAATCCTTGTGAAATTTCATTATTTAATGATGAACAAACAATATGTGAAGTCATATAGATTGCCATTTCATCTGCACTTTAATGAGAAGTAGCAACTCTGCTGGCCTGCATCATATTGACCCAAAATTTAGCATGACTGAGCAAGCATGATGAGTGCTTGTGACAGCAGCTGAAAACAACTGGGAGGGCAGGGAGATGCCAGAATGGTAAAAGCAAAGTAGGATCCTGACAAGTGAGGAAATGCTTTAAAATAAAAAATGTCTCAGAGCCGTAGTTTCAAGCCTTGCTCATCTCCAAGTGTGCACTGAGTTTTGAGTAATTGTTTTTCTTTGAAATGTATAACTCAAATTTTTGCACTTCCCATCTTAGTGTCCCAGGGTTGCTGAATTCTGTGTAAAAATAACACATCTTCAGTAATCAGCAGGACTGCATAGGACTCATCTGAGACAGAGGAAATTTCTGGATTCTCTGGTCACAAGGGGCATTAAAAACCCTCCCATGTAATTTATATGCCTTGTCTTTTTATGCCATTTGTAGAAAAACATTCCCCAAACAAACATCAGATCCACCAGTGACATTTTAAATGTTGCAGGATCTGCATCTTAACATGCCACTGTCACTGAAATGAATAACAGTTCCTGTTTATTGCAGAGCTGAACACAGCACTGCCTACTAACACACATTTCTGGAATACTAGGGGGAAAAGGGAGACACTTTGTGGTGTGAAATAACTTTTAGACATTTGTATTTCCTTGTGAGAGCTTTCCAAGTCATTGCTACAACTAATGGTAACATTTTAGACCCGAACAGCCCTTGCCTGTGCACCCAGCAGCTGCACAACACACTTTGCCCAGCAAGGCCCTGCTCTTGGTGCTCCTTTTCCTTGGAGGAAACCTGAAGCACCGGAGGCCGCCACCTGTGTGAGGCGAATGAAGCTGCGCTCACCTCAGCTCCACGCAGGCCTGCCCCGCGTCCATGCCTGCAGGGGGTCAGGGCAGCAGGCCCATCCCCAGCGGAGCAGCCCGGGTGTCTCTCACAGGCC